AATAAAGGCACGAAGAGACTGGCTTACAAGGATTCAAGAGGGAGTTTAATTTAAGTGTGTGTGGGGGGAAGAAAAAGTCCCCACTGAATAGTTTCCATCTTGTCTAAATGGGTCTGGTTAAAAGAGATTGGGATAAGATTCTAATGATTCAATAGTAAGTGTTATCATGACTAATTGTGACTGTCACAATTGTAAAGGTAGAAGTTTTGTAATAAAAATAGGGGAGCAGTTAATCTTACAGTCCAGAAACAAAGGACCCTAGGATCATCAAGGGAGAGCACAAACAGAATGTGGGGCCTTATCCAGAGAACCAGTGAACACCAGAGATGGTGGCAGAGCTGGGGACATGGAGAGGGTGAGCAGCTGAGGACTCTAGATTCATGGGAAGAGAGGTACTAAGAGACAGTGGCCATGAGGCAGACTTGCAGAATGTACCCTCTGGTGGTATAAATTGTTATATATGCCTGAATGTTTTTTTTTTTTTTTTAAAAGAGCTAAAGTAAATAGAAAGAAATACCGTTAACTGATGATACATGGAGGGGGATTGTAATCATTGTGATGAAACAAGGTGCATGATTTGTTCAGTGTAAAACTGATGATCTGCCCTGTAAACAAACTTTCACTCAGTCCACAATAAAAACTTTAAAACAAAACAAAACAAAAATAAGTCAAAGGACATAATGCATTATGCAAATTTGCTACTGCAAAAGACCTCTTTAAAATGTTAACGATCAAGGAGCAAGGATGGACTGTCAGTTTGAGGACAAAGGTGTGCTTGACCCAAGCCATGTTATTTTCAATAGCCTCATATGCATGTGAAAGCTGAACAATAAATAAGGAAGACAGGAGAAACCCTATACATCAAAGCATTTGAATTATGGTGTTTGTGAAGAAAATTCAAAGCATCAGACTACCAGAAGAACAAATAAATCTGTCTTCAAAGAAGTATGGCCATATTGCTCCCTAGAAGTGAGGATTATTGAGATATCAACTCATACTTTGGACATTTTGTCAGAAAGGACTAGTTCCTGGAGAAGCATAGCATGCTTGGTAAAGTGGAGAGTTAGCAAAAGAGGGAAGACCCTCAACGAGATGGACTGATACAGTGGCAGCAACAATGAGCTCAACTATTAACAGTAATGTCATGTTAGAGTCCATTGTTGCTGCCACTGTGTTAATCCATCTAGTTGGAGGTCTTCCTCTTTTTGGTTGACTCTCCACTTTACCAAGTATGATATCCTGCTCCAGGACCTATAGCTATGGGTTACCTAAAGTGATAGGGATACTACACAAACATAGGTAAGGAGTCCTGGTTTAACTCTGTAGGATAAGCACTGGACCACAAGGTTAGTTTGAATCTCAAGGTTGGCAGTTCAGACGCACTAGCTGTTCCTCAGAAAATACTACATAGGATTGCTATTAATCAGAACAGACTCGACTGTACTTAACAACAACTGGAATCAGGATATTGGCAAAGCAGGAACCACTCAACTCTCCCGGGTAATTTTTAAAACCTTCAGGGGTGAAAAACAAAAACATCACAGAAAAAAAATTTCAGCGCTTCTGAAAAAGAATCTCAGTGTCTTTTTACCAACGCTTATATATGGAGTCCTAGTGTGGTACTGAGGGTTTAAGAGCTGGACTGCAAGGTCAGTTTGAAATGTAAGGTTGGTGGTTCAAACTCACCAGCCACTCCTTGGAAACCCTATACAGGGTCGCTATGAGTCAGAACTGACTTGACGGCACCTATCAACAACAACAACATATAAAGTTCAAGGCTACATGGCTTCTGCAGACCATAACATCCAAGAAGCTTTTCCTTCCTTGAGGGCAGTAAAAGGTACAAACAAAACCTCAAGAACACAGCAATATCATATAAAAATGTGTTGTGAATGATCAGTCAAGCTTGAAACAGGAGGTTACAGCTCAACTGAAAAGCTGAGTAGCTGGCGTAGTGGTGCTCACTAACCACACACAGCAAAGGATAGCAATTTCTTCACCTCCACATCCCAAGACAAGCTGCACTTTGTAACATACTTACTGACTTTACACTCTTATAGGTATGTTGTTGTTATGTGCCATCAACTCAGAGATTCTATGCACAACAGAATCAAACATTGCCTGGTCCTGAGCCATCCTCACAATTGTTATGTTTGAGTCCCTTGCTACTGTCACTGTGTCAATTCATCCTGTTGGAGATCATCTTTTTCTGCTGACCCTCCACTTCACCAAGTGATGTCCTTCTCCAGGTATAGGACACTTAAAGTGATAGGGAGACTACAAAAACCACCTGGTATAGAATGCTGGAACTCTGGTTTAAAAAAGCTCCATAGGCAATAACAGGAAACAAAGCCAAGTGAGATACATATTTATAATTTCAAAAGGATTCTCTCCCATTGATGTGTTGTTGTTAAGTGCCACTGAGTCTTTCCAACTTATAGCGACCCTGCGTAGGGTTTTCAAGGAGTGGCTGGTGAACTTAAACTGCCGACTTTGTGGTTCAAAACGAGCTTACAGTCCAGCAAATGAACCCACAGCGCCACACCAGGACTCTGCCCTTGATGTAGGAAGGCATATGCGAAAGACTATCGGCTTTGGGTACAATTTTTATCATTTTTAAGTTCATCATGTGTGAATTGCTAACTGGTTTTCTATAAAGGCATCATTAAAAAGTCAATGCTGTCATAGCAATGGACACTCAATGAGAAAACCTAATCTTAATGGGAAGAGGGGAACTCCCAGAAATGCAAATCAACATAAAAATGTGTCCTGGAAGGTTAACTTTGCTGTACCCAAAATTAAAGTTTATTATTTTAAAAAGTTACACATACTCTTTGATGCAACAATTCTACTCATAGGACTCCAGGGCATGTACCTTAAACTCCTGCACAAATGCACTAGGGTCCAGATTCAGGAATGTTCACAGCATTGCTCTAAATAGCACCAAGCTGTAAATAACAAAATGTCCATCGGATAATAGAATGAATACACTGTTACATTCATATAATGTAATATCACACAACAATAAACATTATGGTGTGGCACGGTAAGTTAAGACGCCAGACTGCAAAGCTGTTTGAACTGCAAAGTCGGCAGTTCAAGCTCACCAGCTGCTCCTCAGAAACCCTATACAGGGTTGCTATGGGTTGGAACCGACTCGATGGCACTTCACAACAACAACATATACACTAAGGAGTTCTGGTAGCGTAGTGGTTACGAATGGGGCTACTAATCTTACCGTCAGCAGTTCCAAACTACCAGCTGTTCCGCGAGAGAAAGATTTACAACCTCGGAAACTGTACAGGGTCGCTATGAGTCGGTACCGACTCCACGGCACATAACAAAAACAACGATATACACTAAGGAGCTCTGGTACCGTAGTGGTTACGAATCGGGCTGCCAATCTCAAGGTCAACAGTTCGAAACTACCAGCTGTTCCGCGGGAGAAAAATGAGGCTTTCTGCTCCCGTAAAGGCTTATAGCCTTGGAAACCCTGTACAGGGTCGCTATGAGTCGGAACCGACTCCACGGCACATAACAATAACAACACAGATATACACAAATTTAATATTAATTGAGAGGAGCACTGTGGCTCCATACAGTAAGCAGTGGACTTCGAACTACAAGGTCCGTGATTCCAGCTCGCCAGCAGCTCCATGGTAAAGATGAGGCTTTCTGCTACGGTGAAGATTTAGGGCCTCAGAAACACTATACAGGATCGCTGTGAGTTGGTACCAACTCCCCGGCACTTAACAACATGAAAATCATCAAATGACACAATACGATTCCACTGATAAAAGTTCAAAAACAGGCAAAGTAAAACTATATTGATCAGGCATTCATACCTAGAGGGTAGAGTTTAACAAGAAAATGATTATCAGGAAACTCAGGATCAAGAGGGAATTGTGCGCACAAAGATACACGGGAGGTGAGGGAACTTGCGGTACGTACCGCCAATGCTTTTTTAAAAATCTGGGTGATTATTAAATTTTCTTTTAAAATGTTGTACATTTTTCTATATCTGAGGGAGCTTCAAAAAGTTCATGGAAAAGTGAGATTCAAAGAGTGAAGTTTTCCCACAAACTTTCTGAAGCCCCCATGTATGTTACATCATAGAAAAATGTATCGGTAACCCCTCCAAGTGATCCACCCCTTTAAAAATGTGAGGGCGCCACCTCGCCAACTCTAAACAAGACACTAGGAAACACAGGCCATAGGAACTGGCAGGAGCCCTTAAGGATCTGGCGTACAGCACATACTACTTGTAAAGTTTTAAAGGGTAGAGGCTCCTAGTGACCCAAAGGTACAGAGGGCTCTGCTCACCGCAGGCCAAGCCCACCTAGAACCACCGAGACCTCGCCCGCCACGTCGGCACTTCCACTGTCTGCCACGGGCGATTCCGGACTGGAACAGGCGACTCCGGGACTTTGCCCGGGTTTTCTGAAGGAAGACGAAGCCTTGCGGTCCGAGGCAACGAATCCCCGCGCCACGAAGCGCCTCAACAACCCCGAGTAGGAGGGGGCGCAAGCGGTGCCCTGGCCGAAGGCAACTCCCGCGGGACCCCGATCCGGGTGGGCGTGGCCCGCAGGCCAGGAAGGGGGAGGGGGCGCGCGTACCTCTCCACTGCAGAGGAACTACCTCGACAATTCCAGTTGCCTGAGAATAGAGATTATTTCCGGGGACTGCCCCCTCCACCCCTCCAGGGCAACCACTAGCTGTCTCTTTTTTTAATTCAGGGTGCAGGCACAGGCGCACGCGCACTGCTAAGCTTCCGTGAGAATGCGAGCGGACTGGCAAAAAAGGACCCTCGCTGCCTAGGCCGAATGCGCGCGCGCCGCCACACGCAGGAAGGCTGGAGTCGGGGACGCGCTCGGCGGCGGTGGAGGTGGAGATGTGAATCGGACCGAGAGTCGATTGTGCGCAGTGGGCAGGCTGCAGCTGCGCTCGCCAGGGTCTCCGCTCTAGGGAGGCGGGGCGTGGGAGGCTGGTGGGCGGGGACACGGGACTGTGGGCGTGTCCGGGGCGCGCGCAACGGACGCGCGATCCCGAGTGAAAGAAGAAGGAGGGGCACCGGGGGTGACGGTGCGGGAGCTGCTGCTAGCGCCCGGGCGAGAGTCGGCGGCCCGCGTCTGTGGAGAAGGTGGGCTAGAAACCAGTTCAGCTGCCCGGACGCTCGGGACTCGTCCCCACATCAGAGCAGCAGTGGTTTCTGGTTAAGAGGGGAGGCGCTGCCAAGCCCCAGAAGGGGAAGATGTTCAACGTGGAGTCTGTGGAGCGGGTGGAGCTGTGCGAAAGCCTTCTCACTTGGGTATGTCATGACCAGCGGGTCGGTGGGAACCCCCTCTTCCAACCCCAGGTCGTCTTTTCGGGATCCCCCCAATGCTTGTCCCGGGGGGCGAGCTCCGAGGGCGGTGGCGCCGTCACATCCGGGGCCTGGGGCGGGCGGAGCCGGGGAACGCCGGTGCGAACCGCGTCTACACCCGCGGCCGGGCGGGGGTCGGCCAAGAACGGCTGGGCGGCGGGGAGGAAGCTTGACCCAGGGTCGGAGGGAAACTTGCCGAGCTTGAGATGTTGGCTGCTCTCCGAGTGGAAACCGGCTCTGTGGAGGCTAATCATGGGGTGCAGGCGACACTGTAATTAGGATTGTTGTTGTTTGCAGCTGATGAGGCGCTGGCGCTTCACTCTCGCGCTTCCAGGGACACCAAAGCCTTGGTTGTCCTTCTCCCCGGCGCAGCGGCTGGAGGCGCTGGGGACTCCTGGTTACGACACTCCTCGCCTTTGTTGTAACGTTCACGAAGAATGGAGCGTAGCCCCTTCAGGATGAGCCCTGTCCCCTGGAAAATAAAAGAGAAGGACTTGGAAGGGAACCGAGTCCAAAAATAGTTTGGGCTAGGAATAATAGGAGAAGGGACCCGAGAAACGGATTATTTAAAACGCAAGATGCATTTTGGCAGTTACAAAGTAAGTGGTGTGGAGGTAGTTATTAAAGATATTAGAGGTAGATTTTAAAAATAAATCTGTAAGGTATTTGAAAGAGTCACTAATATAAATAAAGGACATTTTGAAGTAACGTCGTGGGATTTTAACTTACAAAACAGTTATTAAAATTCTCACATTTTGAAGCTAATATATGTTCAATTCTAATGCAGGTAGTGCGTTTAGAACCATATAGTAAAGGCATATTTGCAAGTGTCTCAAACTGTGGTACCAGTGTCTGGGTTAAGAAGAGGGGGAACTTTATAAGGGGGTAAAGAGATATGAAATAAACGTAGTGTTTGTTTCTGGAAGGTTGATTTTATTCATTAATAATCATTAAGAATATATTTATGGAGGAGACCAAACATTTGTATTAATTTTAAAGATAAAACAGAATTTCAATACATGGTCCTATCTTTGGAGTACAGATAATCATTCTGTGCTGAAACACTTCGGTGGCAATATTTGAAAGCATCGTCTTAAGTTGGTTGTAACAAATATAATGAAAATAGAATCTGAGCATTTCATTACTTGGCTATGTCAGGAATAAATCATATCTTAACAGAATATATATGGTAGTTGTTTAAAAACCGTAGTGACCCTGTGAGGCTTTAAATCTGCGGAAGGAGAACACCTGATCTTTTTCTCACAGAGCTGCTTGTGGGCTCAAACTGCTGACTTTTTGCGCTTATTGTATGGAGCCTCCTTGTTCTCCATATATGATGGCAGAGCACGCTACAGTCAATAACAGTATTTTAGAGCATTCTTGAAGTTTTAGGTTGTTTGCAACAATATAGTTAACACAGTGTTTACAACTCTAATGGAATGGAATGTTACAGATTGAGGCAAAGAAGATGTGCTAAACTGCTGTATTTTGAAAGAGGGAAAAACTGATAACTTGCATAATGCTGCCAAGTTTTGACGAGGCAGGGGAAATATAAAGGAAAGAATTACCACATTCTTTGATTTTGTGGAAGAAATAAGAGTTGGCAGAGGCTACAAATAGAGGGCTGAGGTTCTGAAGACTCTATGTTTTGAATCAGTACAAATAGTACCTCCCTCAGTGCTAGAAAAAGAGGCAAGAGGACAAAGATGAAGTGGGATAGATTGTTAAAAGCCTAGAAGGAAAAGCCAGGAAACAAAGAGGTATATTTGAGGAGCACCTGCAAAAAGATTGTAATCAGTGCAGTTATTTGCATGAGAAATGCTAATATAAAGGGAAAATTACAGGGAACAGTTTGAAGGGATACTAATAGAGAATTTGAGAATCTAGAATAGTTTAGAATCTGACAAAATGTAAAACAAGCAGGCAAACCAAGAATAGTTCATCTTAACAGCTTCAGAGAAAAATCAAGGAATATGAATTTGCAAATAGGCTTTTTGAAATGTCATTGGAAACGTCTTCAAGAATTTCTGGAGAAAAGATTTGAGATTATTAATGACAAAACTGGAGGGCATGGTCTGCACAAAGATGAACAGTTCTAGGATATGAAAACATTTAAAAACATTGTATATCAAACTGTTTCAAAATAAATATGTGTTTAGATCTGGTTTTCCCCTTTTAGTTGTTATTGTATAAAAGGCAGAGTAAATGTTTCTATGAAAAATATTTGAGTTAGCTGAAAATATTCTTTTAATCAAGTCACCTTTCTAATATCTGAAGGCCAGATTAATACTGAATATAATTCCAAAACTAAGTATATGAAAAAAGTATCTATCCAGTCAGTATAATCCAGTAAAAGACTCCCCATTAAGAATACTTTTAGTCTGTTTCATGTAAATTTTCAACTGACTTGGCTGTGTAGTTTCTTGGCATGCAGCAAGTTAGAAGGTGATTGCAGCTCTCAGCAAAATACAGACAGCTGTCAGTGACAGGAGACCTGAGAGCTCAATGTTCTGTCCACTGAATCAGTCTTTGGGCTGACAGCTTTATATGCACTTCAATTCATTTATTGAAGATTATAATTATTATCCTGAATACCAAAAGTTTACCTTTGTTATGTAGCATTTTGTTTAAGATGAGAGAGATGTATAAAATGCATTTTAGAAATTCTCCACTAGAAATTGTTAAATAACAAAATCACAGGCCCTTAAAGGTATGGCTATTAGTCATCTATGCAGCATTCAGTCCTTAAAAGCTGGATAAATTGCCATATTATTAAAGAGCCGACCAGTTCCAGAACCAAGTGTCCCAAATTTCTTTTGAAATTGGAATACTTAAGAAAAGACAAAAGAACTACCAACACAAACCATCTAAAAGCCTAAATTCCAAATAAAGGTTATGTAGCAAGAGCAAGTTCTGCAGGATGTGCTTGAAAATTTCCATTTTACCTCCTCCTCTCCCCACCCTCTGAGTCAAAATATCTGCCCTGCCTAGTACATCTGTCAAGCCTAATTCATTTAAAAAAAACTTTTTATTGTGAATTGAGTGAAGGTTTACAGAGCAGATCAGTTTTACATTCAACAAATCATATACTTTGTTTCATTTCAGTGATTGCAAATCCTTTCCATGTAAGATCAGTTATCCCGATTTCCTCCCTGTGATTCTTGTTTTCATTCCACCTTCATTCCCAACCCTTCTGAATTTTGTCCTTTGGTCTTGAATAGTTGACCATTCCATGGTGTGCATACCTCATACCTATCTACTGCTTGACCGGAAATCATGCCACAAGGGTCAAGCCTAATTCTTTTTTGTTTTTCCAACTTTTTATTGTGAATTGAGTGACGACGGTATTACAGAGCACATCATCAGTTTTACATTCAACAAGTCATATACTTTGTCAAGCCTAATCCCTAGCTGTACATGGATCTCAATGAAAAGTTTGTGCTTTCCAAGACTGTAAAAGAAGAACGAATCAGGAATGCTGCCAATTAATGGCAAGAAGTTATGTGAGAAAGGAAATCATTGCAGACTCCCTGTATTTCTTCTGGGAAGTCCAGCAGCATAAACATACCCTTATGATTTTCATATTACTTATTTGACAACCTGTAAAAGCATACTAGAATTAGGAAGGGTGTCATTTTTATGGTGGGCTTTCTCCATTAGGAGCCATGGTGACACAGTGAGGAAAGATGCTCATTTGTGTGAACCCACCAGCTGCTCCTCAGGAGGAAGTTGAGGCACTCTGTTCTGGAAAAAAAATAACAGCCTTGAAAACCCTATGAGGCAGTTCTATTCTCCCATAGTGTTGTTGTAAGTCAGAATCCACTGGGCTCCAGTGGGTTTGTTGTCTCCACGTAATTCTTACAGTGGGTTTCGTGTCTCCATTCAATTCTTTCTGCTCTGCCTAACTCCAGTATGGAGTCCAAAAATCACTGATGCATGAAAGTCAAATCACATATTGCTTAAAAGCCTTAATTATTGGTTTTACTTTTTAATTGAGAATCTATAGCATGGGATCCTGGTGTGCTGCTAACCACAAGGTATGTGGTTCAAACCAACCAGCTGCTCTTCAGAAAACCTATACAGGGTCATCACGAGTCAGACTGATTTCACAGCACTCAACAACAGCATAGCATGGAATCCTGGTGTGGTGTTGTAGGATAAAGCACTGGACCAAAAGGTTGGTTTGAACTGCAAACTCACCAGCTGCTCCTCAGAAACCCTATTTAGGGTTGCTGTGTGTCAGGATCAACTTGATGGACTTAACAACAACATGGCATTATAATTAAGAGGACAGTTTCTGACATAAGATTGCTTGGTTTTAAATCCTTCGTTTGTTGCATATTAAGGACGGTTTTGGATACAAAACATAACCTCGGTGTTTTCATTGCTCCTAACTACAGTGGTGGTTCCATCCATAGCATTCATTAGCATTGTCTGGAGGACTTGTTAAAACACAGATTGCTGAGTTCTACCACCAGTTTCTGATTCAGGAGGTCTGAAGTGGGGGTCTGAGACTGCATTTTTAACATATTCCATAGTGATGGTATCGCTAGGTTAGTGGCCTGGAGACCACCACAATTGAACAGCACTGCTCTAGAACATGGGTTCTGAAGCTCAGCTATTGCTATTTTGGACCGGATAAAGGAGCTCTGGTAGCGTAGTGGTTACGAATCGGGCTGCGAACCTTAAGGTCAGTGGTTCGAAACTACCAGCCGCTCCGCGGGAGAAAGATGAGGCTTTCTACTCCCGTAAGGATTTACACCCTCGGAAACCCTGTACAGGGTCGCTATGGGTCGGCTCCGACTCGCACTTAACAACAACAACAACAATTCTTTGTTGTGGGCACTTCCACGTACTCTGTAGGCTGTTTACTAGATGCCAGTGTTGTTAAATGCTGTGCGACCCTATGAAGAGTTTCCTAGGAGCAGCTGGCGAGTTTTGAACCA